GAGAGCCAATTAAAAAGGTTTTAAAGGCAAAATTCGAAATTTTAGCCAGTGTTGCCGTGAATCATCTTTAGTGGTAGCCACATTCCTTTAAAAAAGGGCTAAAAAAAAAACTAAAAGAAGTCGTTCTGGCTAAAAATAGTAGCTAAATTTTGTTACTTACATATACATATGTAAGTATACACGCAAATATTTTCAATAAGCAATGGTATATAAAAACAATGAATTTTGAAAAAAGCTAATATTTTATCCAACCAAAAACATTTTTGTATAAAAGGGTAAATATACGACACCAGCTTGCTGGCTCCATCAAGTGATTGTACCATCAAGCTCGAAGCATATAGCTTACCAGCATGCTGGTACAATATTTATTTCTTTGCAAATGAGGTCGAAGAAAGATCGAAATGATTAGAGCCGAAATTTCAAAATATTTCTAGCATTTTGTTAAACATTGTTTTTTTGTAATTCACAACTGCAATATCGTGAACGTAATCTTCCACAAACACGGCTTTGACTCATATAGTGCAAGAAATTTTCGCCAAAATGCTTTTTACTTAGAAAATTGAGCTAATTTCACCACTCATGACACCAGCATGCTGGTACATTCACACCACAAGAACATACACGGTCAATCGACTTGATGGATCATTTAACAAATTTAGCATATTACCCGTCAGCTTATCTATTTTAAAATATAGTTAAATCGTTAACAGATAAGATAACAGCCCCAACACTTTTACAGTATGTATGTATAAAAGCGTAAGATACAATACATATATGTATATATATCAGTCTTTTTTAGTTTAAAAATTCATCTCTTATATAAATGCAAAAAAAAAAACAAATTAATTATATACAACTTTTTCTTGTCAAGTATGAATAAATTCTAAAGAGGGCTAAAAAAAGGGCTAGGGGCAATTCTAAATTTATGTGGCCAAAAAAAGTATGTGGTAGCTAATCCTAGCCTATTATTATTATTATTATCTAAACAAATTAAGCATATAAAACTTTTTCTTGTCAAGTATGAATAAATTCTAAAGAGGGCTAAAAAAAGGGCTAGGGGCAATTCTAAATTTATGTGGCCAAAAAAAGTATGTGGTAGCTAATCCTAGCCTATTATTATTATTATTATCTAAACAAATTAAGCATATAAAACTTTTTCTTGTCAAGTATGAATAAATTCTAAAGAGGGCTAAAAAAAGGGCTAGGGGCAATTCTAAATTTATGTGGCCAAAAAAAGTATGTGGTAGCTAATCCTAGCCTATTATTATTATTATTATCTAAACAAATTAAGCATATAAAACTTTTTCTTGTCAAGTATGAATAAATTCTAAAAAGGGCTAAAAAAGGGCTAGGGGCAATTCTAAATTTATGTGGCCAAAAAAAGTATGTGGTAGCTAAATCTAGCCACCAAAGGGTTAAAATGGCAATACTGATTGCAACCGAAATTTTTACTCATGTTATTTTTAAATTTCAGAGTAAAAATCTCGTACACCCAGTTTCTAAAATTGGACTTACAAGCGTTATAATTTTGCTCTAAGGGGGCTCAGAGATTTCTTCCATGGTGTAAATTAAAGCTCTTGAATAGCAGTATAACCTACCGGATATATAAAATCGTCATAATTTTTCGTATTGAGAGTTTTGCTAAGTAAGCTCTTGATATACATTTGTATGTAAATATGGCGAAGCGGTGGTCATGGTTGCCACTTGCTAAAAAATAACCAACCCAAATCTTAAAAAAAAGCATAATTGAAAGAAAAATTACCAAATTTGTTATCCAGTTATCCACTTATCTATTACACACGGTGCAAGCGAAGATAGGTTGCATAAAAATGGCGACAAAATCTGAAAGCAGGGTTGTATTTGTTAATATCTTAAGGTTAAGAATCCGCTTAAATTGAAATCCTAGCTGCTCCTGTTTAAAAGATATCACATTTTATATACTTCTGATAGGATATATTTGGAAGGCGTACTTCTCGATAATTAGAGCATATTTATACGAAAAGAAATACAAATCTGTTCCCCTTTTTTAACTCACTAAAACGGATCAAATCAATGTGAAACATTTTCATTTTTTCCTACCGAAAGAATAATTGATCGAGATTTATTGGGCGCTACCGGTATACAACTTAGGTAAAACACCACAATTACCTTTTTCTGTAGCGTGAACTTTCTCATTACAAACACTTTCAATATCGCAATATATGTATGTATGTATACAATATTGTATGCTATATAATACGGTAGTAATTTTTTATTAAAGGTTTGTTGCTATAAGCAAGTAGCGCAGGCCAGTCGCACTGCGCTTGTGCAAGAAATAAAAATGCTCTAACTTAGGCCAACGGTACTCCGCATAATAAGTAAATAAATTCAAAGCTTGTATGAGATTTATTTTGGTATTTATGTACTCTTCTGTCAGGAAATAATGACTATTGTACATCCAGAACACAAATGCGATCATAAAGAAAATCGCATGAAAGTATGCGCTTTTTGTGTAGGGCTGCCAGACGTCCCGGTTTTCCCGGACATGTCCCGGTTTTAGACTATTTGTCCCGGTGTCCCGGTCCAACCTTAAAATGTCCCGGGTTTCATTTAAGTGTCCCGGTTTTCGATTTGATTGCACAAATTTTGCTTAAAAATGACTACGCTGAGAGAAAAAGGCGATGTAATATTAAGAAAAATTTTATGAATTTACTGGGGGAAATAACGCATAGTAAACATGAATATGTTTTATTTGATTATCGTTTTGAAATGTTCGTACTTAAAAACAATACTTTCATACCACGCACACGTGGTGTTGAATCAAACTGAACATTTGAGTGCACATTTACATGTCTGGCTGTAGCTGGGTGCACGAAGATGCTTGCCACAATTTGCTAATTTCCAGAGCGTCAGGGTTCAAATCCCATTACAGACAGCATGGAATTTAAATAATTTTTTTTTAACTTAATTATGAAAAAGCACCCGTTAAGTGCAAAGCGCTTCATTTTAATATTGGCGTATTTCAATTGAATATTTCTATACTAAATACTAAAATTTGTATACTTAAATTATTACGAGTTGGGTTGTGTCTTTCATATGCGATTTTTTTTTTTAATGTAGCACGTTTTGCATAAGCAATAGTTGATGATTAATATAAGTAT